GAAATGCTATAACTTTTTTAAATGCTGAGCTCCACAGTATGACTATGAGGCAGTTATTTGCAATGCTTCCTCAATATATCTGCAAAATAAGAGTGAGAACAGAAAGGTGGGAATGAGGCTGACTGGACCCACCAAAAAAAATGGTAGTCAGGGGGCTAAAGAGCCTGGTGAAGTAGACACAGGCTGCTATGATACCCAGCCTCTATTCTATTCCTGTGTCACCATTCGTCAAGCTAAAACCATTACCTTCATGAACGTAAACTTACACAAGATGAGATAGCATCCTGGAGAGCAATAGTACATCATGGATCCATCTTCAGGATACAAATAGGAAAGGAGAACAGGGGAAGACCTAAACAATGTCAGTTCAAAGGTTAAAAAAAACTCCCAAAGCCATTTATTGGGTTGGTTCCTCCCTGGGCCCAATCTAAGAACCAGGTTTCAACATATCTCACTGTGCACTGGGAACATTGTATGCTCAATGGATATGTACTAAATTACCATGTAAATCAGAGAATTTTTTGGATTGATTTTCCTCTTATCTTCTTTACACGATGATTATTCAACTAATGGCTTTTCTATCATGTAGGAAAACATTGAGTACTCAGAATTATAGAGAGAAAAATCACATGCCAGGCATTTCATCCATCTATTTACCTCCAGGGAATGCCAAGTTATTGTGTAAGTACAAGAGTAACTGCTCAGATTCCCATTATTGCCTGCCTGTTCTCTTTCTACCTCTACAAACACACACAAAATTGTAATTCTCACTCTGCTTATGAAAGTCCCATGCTATGCTTCCATTAATGTCTTCCTAACAATCTCTATGACTTAAAGTCGCCTTTACCCATCTACTCAGACCTAAACTAAATCCTTTTCAACACTACTAGTCATCTTTAAGAGGAAGCAATTTTACATTAAATAATTTATTTTTATTTTTCTTCGCTTTAAAACATGGAAAGTCCAGGGAAAGAGTAGCATTCCAACCCACTAATGGCCCTTCCTCCTTCCTCTGCCATGAGAGTTAGGAAAACACACTCAGAGAAGAGGAACAAAGGGATGTTAAGATATGGCTTGGAAAGCCAACATTGTGGTGCAATAGGTGGCAACCTGTAAAACCAGCACAAATCCTGACTGCTCTACTTCCACCCCAACTCCCTACAAAGGTGCCTTGAAATACAGCAAGAGACGATTGCAATGTTTGGGCCCTGGCCACACACATGGAAAACCCAGAGGTAGTTCCTGACATCTGCCTTCAGCCACTACAGCTCTTTAATCCTAGAGTTGCTCTGGAGACTTAACAATATCATCAAGGACCAAAGATCTTCTCATTCTTCTATTGTATTATCTTACATAATGGTATTGAAAATTCAACATTGTTTCTTTGGTGCAAAATAGTCATTAATGTCCTAAGCATCAATCTTCAGGTGGCAGTGTCTTGTTTTACAAAATAAAGGATACAGGTAAAATAGATTTAAAGATATTCTCTTCCATAGGCCTTCATCTCATCATCTAAATAAGAAACAATATATTTTTAAATATCCAGTACTGACTTTCACCTTTAATGGCCATAATTTGGACCCTATCTAACCCTAGATTAATGCTGGAAAAACAGGGTTGTTTACTACAAATTAACCCTTCCCCCATGAATGAGAAAATTTCTGCCCCAACCCCACCCTCCAGAAAATACCCTGAATGTTTATATAATAAGAAAAGGGGTTGCCTACTAAGACAATTAACTGTGCTATCACCTGTAATCAAAATTTTTTTTTTGAAATGTGTGGCTGAATATCTGGACACTCCTGCCCTGCCAATTCCCTACCCTCTTTCTTTCAACATTTCTCTCTTCTTCCTTGGCTTCCTTTCACCAGTAATGACCAGTTACTTTGGATAAGAATATGCTGTAATTCTAAAATCACATTCTATTTGTCCTTTTTCTATATAATTTCTTGAAAAATACAATAAAAAGGTTCATTCCACTTTAAGAAGCTATAGACAAAATAAATCAGTGTAAAGAAATAGCTGAGCTCCTAAAATGCTGTATAAACCTTATCATGGTTCCTTATTTGTTTACTTTGCCATTTCACTTCTGCTTCATTTAATTCTGGGTTTCTCCATTGCTTCAATGGATAGCTGATGCTGTAAATTAAGTTCCCCAGCCTCTCAATCTGTCAAGAAGCATTCAATTCAACATTTATTGAGGATCTGCTGTCTCTGAGCACTCAAGAATAGCTACACATGTAAAGAAACCCAAAAAATTCCAGTAAGAAAAGGTTAATAATACAGATACATTTATAATATATTTTGATTTTCTAAGTATGGAATTCATTAGAGCAAGGTTTGAAAAATATTTAAATTAAATCTCCAAATATGGCTGTTTTGTTCTTCTTTTAACAACTGTTGTCACATTTTTTTCCTGCTTGACAGTTATCTCATTTATCTGAGTCTACCCATTTATTCCTAACTTTTGGAATTAAATTTAATGGAGAACCAGGTAACTCGCAAACATCTGTGCTGAAACAATTTACCTGCAACTCCAGACATGAGCAAAATTTATTTTAATTGTTAGATTTTTTTAAAATCTTGGTTATGAGCATTGTAAATAAAAGTATTCAGTGTAAAAACAAGTTATCACTCATGCGCTGTTTGTCACTCTCATATGTATATAAAATCAGCATCACAAATAATCACCTAAAGGCAAACAGCACTTTTAATATCACGGGGTTTATCATAGCCATAGTTTTTGGTTACTGTAATTTTTTACATTTGCACAATTATATTAACAGTACAACTGTGGAGGGGGAAAAAGTGAACAAAGTTGAACCTGTTGCTTTTCCAGGGATACTAAAAAAACACTAAGTACACCAAAGTGACCATTACCAAGAATTCTTGAAAGACTGAAATACAGCTACAAATTATGCGACTCCAATTTTACTCATGTAAAACCAGATTTTAGTAATAGCTGGGTTTAAAATAATTGATTTTTCCTAATCATGCTTAGAAGTCAGTGAGCCCTCTATTACATGCATGCATGTGTATGCACTATACTGATAGCCCCAATGTGGTAATACCTCCACTTCATCTGCCCACCTCTAAAATTGTGGAATATACAAACTTCTCATCCCCACATCTTACAGTTCAATTCTGCCACAACTTAACTTATGGTTATAAATCTTTCATTTATCACATTGGTGCCATTGTTGTATAATCCAGAGATTAGCCTACAATCAGGAAAATTCTTCCTTTAAAGTTTTCATCTATATTCATTGTCTTCAAATTATAGCAATTCACTTAATAAGCAAATCTGTAACCCTCAGTCATCTTAAATACTCATATTTCTCATAATCACTTTCTGAAACTATTCACAAGCATCCACAGTGTCTATGAAATGACTCAAAATTGTCTCTCATTTTAGTTCTATCATAGATGTAATTCAACACATAATGCTTCATATGGGCTTTGAATTTATGTCTTAAAGCAGGTCTCTCCATAAGCATTGCTAAAGCCACAAAATCTTCTCATAACACTTCCATTTGACAAATGTTCCTGGATACCTTGTACATGCCAAGCTTTCAGTTCAGCTTGGAGCAAAAACCTGCTGAATTCCAAAAATACTTCCTCTGTCTATTTCTAGTTCAAGAGATGTCACAGCAACAATGTCAATATGTAAATAAATGTACTATCCACTACAGAAATAACTATCAGGAATAACTAGTGGAAGATGACATATATGTGGGATAGTCAAGGAAGGCCTCACTGATGCGATTCTCATTTAGGATACAACCTATATTTAAGGGGTCAGAACACTACCATCAACGAGAATCAAAAAGAGCACATCAGAGATCCATGGTAAGAGAGATCCTTCAAGAGCTGAAAGGAAGCCATGGTGGTTAGCATCTCATTTATCTTAGGGATGGTGAATGCGATACAATTCAGTGATGAGTAGAGATGACATCAGGTGCAGCACTTTGAGCTACTATGAGAAGTCTGAATCTAATAAGAAGCAAAATTAGCAGCCAAGGAAGAGTTTTATACAAACGAGTCACATGATTTCAGTTATATAGAACTGCCAGACTTAGGGTTCCAAATCACAATGTCAGTCTTCTCCTTCAGAAATGTCCACTGAGTACTGAAGAACACAGTGAACACATGTTCCAGAGTGCTTAACTGAGTCCTGGATGGTCCCTGTTGTTCTAGTACAATTATTCACAATGCTTTCAAGGATCCTATTGGAGAACATAATTGTAAAGAAGCTCAATCTATTAAGACAGAAAAATATTCCATAGGAAGACATTTAAGGCTCTTCCATAGACGATCCCAAACCTAAATTTCTTCCTTTTTCCCAATCCCATTACAGCTCTCCTTTAGAAGAATTCTGGTCACTTTGAAATGTTATGCTGGCAGTGTTCCAAATAGAATGTGCCTTTGTGCACAACAGTGCCTCCTGATGAATGCTTTACTACACGTCCTTAATAAGCGGATAGACCTTTAATGCCCAAACCAAAGGAATTTCTCAAATACAACATTTATCATAGTTTGGTTAATCACTTATAACTCATTACCCTGCTATGATTCCAGGTACTTAATGGCCATGACAGCATCTGTTTTAACTCTTATGGGATCTTTACCAGCCACTAAAATCTTGGCCCACAGCTGGTACATGACAACTAGACAAATTATTTAATAAAAAGAAAAATAAAACACATAGTACAATGATAAAGGTGAATAACAATTTAAAATGAAGTCATCCACAAGCTTAAAACACTGTTTTCTTCAAATCTAGTTTACTTTTATTCTCTAGTTTCATTTCAAAGTCTAAACCAGACCTAATCATTAGAAAATAGCATACATTTAAGGATTTAGAAAAAAATCATATAGCAAGAATTTTAATTTTCAAGGAAACCAAACAATTGTACATTTTTGGTAATACATTTTGAGATAACTTTGGCAAAAAAAAACACACAGATTGATCAATATCAAAGACAGTTTCACATACTCACCACCATTACATGATCTTAAACAAATTTTGCTTAGAAGAAGTTTTTGGCGTAATTCTAGAACTTCAGCTTCTAAGACTTCAATTTTTGATTTCCATGTTGATTCCTTCTCAGACACCAACATTGCAAGGTGCTCTGCATATTCTTTGCTGGTTTTGTCTGCTGGTTTCGAACGAATAATTGCCAAGGCCAGAGCCAACTTTGAGGTTCTTAAATACCATGCCTGCACATCCATCGTGGCTTTTCTGTGTCTATTTAGTAAGAAAAAAAGTTACAAAAATTCCTCTTAGCCTTCAAAGTGCATTTCATGTGTTCAAACTTGATTTTGTAGAGCAACACTAATTAGTTCATTTATAATATAATTTGGTATCAAGGAATAAAAAAAGAATTCTCAGGAATTGAAAACAGTGTAAAAAAAAGTGAGCCAAAGAAAAATGCATATTAAGTATTTTAAGATTCAAAATAGTAAGCTTAGACAACCTGACAACCTCTTAGGGTGGGAAAACCACACATTAATTCATTTTGTCGTTTCTTATCAGACACACACATCAGATTCTCTGAGAGAACTTCGTAAATAGGCATTCACATAAATAGATCTCAATAACATTTTACACCAAAATGAATACATCTTTTTAATTCCACTTCCCACTAACTTTTTAAAATAACTTCCTACATATTTCAAGTCCCATCCTGGCAGAATTCTGATTCAGCATATCTAGGTTTTATATTTTGAAAAGAGTCCACAAAATAAACAGAACCACAAAATTAAATCATCCATTTCAATCTGAATACCTTCTCTTTTCCAATTCATTCTACTAAATCTTAAATGTTTTATTTCCTATGCCTGCTTCTACCAGCCCCCAGCCTGTGCAGGAAACAATATTTTAAAATATTTATATTAATTAAATTGTGACTCAGCTATGATTCTATGCTTTCAATGACTTCCAACTGCCACTATAAGAACACTTTTATTACTGCAATCTCACAATCTGAATGTAGTTACAAGGACAATATGACAGATCACTTCATTGGTTTAACAGCATCATCCCTCCTGAAGCCCCTACAGCCGCTGCAATGCTTTGCTGGATTATCACAGGAGCTGTGCACATAAAATGCAATAAATAATAAAAAAAAAATAAAAAATAGCTTAAAGTTCAGTGGCCCAGAAAATTCAGAATCTTTGGTTGCCACACTAACTAACACCCTTTATTCCAAACTTTATTTCCTCCCCTTTCTCAAGCCTATTCTTCCATCATGGTTAGATAACACTCAGATACTCACAGCTTGAACTTGTTCACAGTCATAACTTTGCTCATGGGTTCTGCACCCTCCTCCCCAGCCTGCTGTTATTACAGTCCTTACTTTATCACAGCTGTCACAGCCCGGTGTATGCACCCCACAAAGTACAAATACACTAACACATAAAACCTTCTGATTGATTCCCATTTGCAAGTGTGTACCTATCTGATATCCAATAATTTAGCACAGAAAGTATATAGTAGGTAGTATAACCACTTCATTATAAGCAATGATGAACACAAAAAAGAGTGCACAACTGTTTGCTGCACTATTTTATAATAAATTATATATTATGACTACAAAAATCATCTAATCATTAAATTTTATGTTCATTGGGAAATTTTCATGAAATGTTGAGTAGACAAATGAGGACATGAAATTTTTCAAAAAGCAGAATGACAGAAAGAAAAAGAGAGAGGGACCTTTCACCCATTAGCCTACTTCTCAAAGGCCCGAGAAGCTAGAACTGACTAAGTCCAAAGTTAGGAGCCAAGAACTTCACCTGCTTTTCCCACATGGACTAAAGGGTTCTATGTACTTGGGAAATCATCTGCTGCCTCCAAGGGTGATCATTAGCAGGAAACTGGATCATAACTCAGTGAGCAGTGGCTTAATCCATTGCATTACAACACCCTTCTACCAGCTTTCAGAATTTTGTGTGGAGGGCACCAAAATAAATTTCCTCTAATTCCATTTTCCATTTACCTTTTCAAGTACACTCATATGTACAACAGTAGTAGAATCCTAATTACATAAAGGCTAGAAAGGTAAAAAAAAAAAAAGTAGGATTTATCTCTAAGCACAAAATTATTAGCTATTTTAGCTTCTTACTTTGATTTTTATGTATTTTCTGATTTTCTAAAATGATACATCAAATCATAATTTTACAAATGTATAAAGAAAAGGCACTTCCAAAATCAAAGTACAACAGTACAGCTGCTATATTTTTAACCTTCCCCAGCTGTTGCAAACACCATGTACTAGATACTGTAAGATAGACAAACTAATTAAAATTACAGCTCCATTTATTTTGGCTTGCTGGTTCATCCTCCATCTGTCGTGTCAACAACGGGAGCAGCAAACTCTGACACTGGTTACTCTCAGAGAAGAGGATTGTATGCAGGGCTCAGACAAAGGATGACCCTCCCTCAAAAAAGGAAGCTGGTGATCCAAAGAGAAAAGGACAAAGGCAATAAGTTATTTAGAGATGTTCCAGACAAAAAAGATTCTCAGATTCAATTACAGTTTAGTAGTTCAAGAGGACAAGGTAATTTGGATAGTGAAAATACAGCAAATTCCCTGACCTCTGCAGAGATATTTAATTAACTGATGTCATCAAATTAATTAAATGTTCCCTGTTTTTCAAGTCATTGTATGTTATTGTTAGTAGTCTTACAATCTGGCTGAAAACCAGCTATCAGGGAAAGTCAAATTGCAAAATCCTACCGGATTCTAATAACTATCTCAGGGCCACTCATTTGGATGTCAGAATTGCACCACAAATGAGAAGAAACAATTGTTAATAGATATGCTGCTCCCATGGCCTACAAGGTATAAGCCACAGTCAAAATACAGAGAACCACAACCTACAACAAAACAGAACACAATTTTTAAACCACTTCTTTGTGTGTGTGTGTGCACACGACCACACACACACACATACGCCTAATACACATATCACAAAATATAAACCTTTTTAAATTTTAAGGTTGCATTTCTCTCCACAAATTGCTATTAATAAGATAAAACTGACTATTCTCACTAAAATTACATGAAGGAAAACCCAGGCTTCTGTCATAATAAAAATATATATGAGTTTTATTCTAAGTTCCTGACATAAAGCTCCTAAATCCCTTGGAATTTCATGAGTGGTAGGAAATTCTTTTGTTCACACAAGCATGCTTTCAGCAAATCCCATAGACAGTTTCAGGATGGATACCCGCTCCTAGAATAACCAAACCATAATCAAAAGAGTACGGTTTTCAGTCTCAATTCCTAAGCCTTGGGACAGGGAGAGAGATTAAAGATTGAGTTCACTGGGGACCCCACACCTGCAACTGCCATCAGAAGTAAGGATGATCTAGTGAAACTGAGCCTTTTAACCTGTGGAATATGTTGCTTTCTCCAGGTAGTCAGTGTCAGAATTCAACTAGATTGTTCAACACCCAGTTTATATTGGAAAATCAGAGGAGCAGTTATTATTACCAGAAAACACCCAGCTTCCTAGACTGTTTAATTAACAAGAAAATCAGTAATAATTTTCAGAAAGCTTTTCTAAATTCATTTTATGTTCAAGTCATTATAGTAAATAATTAAAGTGTGGACTTAATGTTTCCCCAAGAAGGTATTTAGTGTCTAAATTAGTAATCACTTAAAATATAAAATGTAACAGTCTTTTTCAAGGACCAGTTCAAGCAGCATTTCACTTTCTTTGCATTTGAGAGTATTTTTACCAGAGAAAGACATGGTGCAAGGCTATAGGAAAAAATTTGTTCTACTGTACTTCTTCAGCTTTCATTTAACCGAGCTGAACCTTGATTTTCTATTAGCTAGAAAATTCTCTAAACTGTTAAAATGATTTTAAAATGCAATCTCAGATTCTACAGGTCATCTCTCATAAAACTTATAAATATTCTATGCTCAAAGAGTCCCAGATCATTCCTATAATACATCTGCAAATGTTTAAATCAAATAATCACTCTTGAAAATATTTTCTTTATATGAATTAAACATCCTCAAAACATCTGCTTTCTCTTCTCCCCAAATAGAAGTTCTAACATTTTATCTTCAAGAATTATCACAGGCCTATATAATACACTCTTTAAAAAGCTTTATGAAATTGTTTACAAATACCAACAGACAAAACCTGTCACCACATTGAAAATATAATAATTGAGATTCAGTTGTGACATCACAGAATTGAATAGAAAATAGTGAAATCAACAGAAAATTCTTCCCACTTTTATCAAATGCAAAGACAAACAAACTGCAAATGTAGTAAAATTATAAATTTAAAAAACAACATGAACATATGGACACTATTTACTCAGATACTTAGAGATGAGAGATGAGGAAAGAAGAGGGAGACAACAAAAAGAAAGAGGAGAGAAACAGGAAGGGAGAGAAGGACTTACTAACAACACCTACTGAGCAAGAGCTGAGGAATGAAGCACTGCTTATACATTTCTGTAGTTCCCATATTTTAACAATCAACATCATATGACAGCAAAAAAGAGTTGTATTACTCTACAGAAATATTCTCTTTATGATATTTTCCCTAATCCCATGTAAAAAAAATTACCCCAAAAGAGAGTATTGGCTTAAATGTGATAAATGAATCTATGCAAGAAAAATAAGAAAACATGAGAGAAGAAATTCTTGACATTGATCCTGGCAAGGATATTTTGGCTGTGATCCCCAAAGCACTGGCAACATAAGTAACAATAGACAAATAGAATTATACCTGACTTTCAAAAACTTCTGTAAAGCAAAGCAAACATTTAACAGAGTCAAGGCCTACAACACTACAAAATTGTTTCAAATCATACATCTGATAACAGACTGACATTCAAAATACATAAAGAAACCAAAAAAATTCAATAGCAAGAAAAGAACTCAATTTAAAATGCATAAAAATTGAGATGGCACTGTGGTGCATTGGGTGAAGCAGCTATGGACAATGACAGCATCTCACATCAGAACATCACGTCAAGTTCTAGCTATTCTGCTTCTACTCCAGTTCCTTTCCAATGTGCTTTGAAGAGCAGCAGATAATGGCACAAGGATTTGAACCCTTGCAATCCACAGGGGGGATCTGCATGAGCACTAAGGTTCCAGGCTTTGGCCTTGCCCAGATGTGAATGATCTGGGGGGTAAAGCAGTGGATGACATATATATCCCTCTCCCCACTCTTTCTTTCTCTCTGTCTCTACATCA